AGGCACTTAGCAGGTATTCAGTAAACTCGTCGAACACACACAGGGGAGGCATGGCTGTCATCTTCCTGCACAGAAGATGACAGCCGTGCTGCCCCTCCCCCGCTCCCCACTCACGACTAGGTGGCCACCCGGGAGAGGCGGGCAGGGCCGAAGTGCCACTGCGACCTTCCTGGGCCTCCCTCCTCTGGACCCCAAGCCCTGGGTGGGGCAGCTACTGACACAGAGGATGCAGGACCCCCAGGATGTTAGGATGGAGCGGGCTGACCTGGTGAGCGAGAGAGCAAGTGCCCGCAGGGATGCAGGTGAGGCGCGGCTGGTAGCCTTTGGGGCAGGAGGGTCCCTCCTGAGTCAGTCCCGCTCTTCTCCACCAGGGGACGGTGCTGGACAGGCCTCCAGAAGCTCCGCCTGTCGTCCTCGCGTGGGAATTTAGCCGGGGCAGAAAGTGCACCTGTGCGACAGCCACCCGTCCAAGGAGGAGGGCTTCCCCAGTACCCCCAGGCTTCCCCTGTGCGTCTCCCCGTCACTCCGCCCAGGAAGCGCAGTCCTGACGATACACTACGCGCTGCGGTGTGTATTTTAATTTTTATTTGTCCATGTCAGCAGTGCATGACTGTGCTCATCGTGGGGAGTCGGCACCTGTACAGGGCACATCCTGATCCTTCTCTCGTCCCCTTCCTCTCCCTCCATCTCTTGGTCTCTTTCCCACTTACAAAAGAGCTATCTGTCTATTAACTATCTTTTATTTTGCTCTTTATGCAATATTCATTATGCAATATTCAAGTTGTGCGCCAACTCCTCTTCACTGCACGTATGGTCTCAAGTTGCATCCATTGCACAAGTGACTCAGACGTAGCCTTCCTTGTGGCGAGCACTGCTCCGCGGTGTGTAATCACAACACTGCTCTTGGCTGGGCAGCCCGGGAGTGGAGTGTCATGGGCAACATGACAGTTGTGCTTTGGTTATCCACAGGGCTGGTACCCTCCAGATTCTAAAACTCAAGGAAACTCTAGTCCCTTACATGAAAGGGCCTGGAATTTGCATTTAACCTATGTGCATCCTCCCTAAGCTTGTTGTTGTTATTTTGAGACAGGATCTTGCTATGTAGTTCAAGCTGGCCTTGAACTATGTAGCCTGGGCTAGCCTTGAACTCACAGCGATCCTCCTGCCTCAGCCTCCTGAGTGCTGGATTACAAGCGTGCATCATTACACTTGCCTGGCCATCAGGTGAACTTTTAAAGAAGCTACCACACTGACCTGTTTTGCCCTGACAAGTCCCCTATGGCCACTATGTGCCCATGGTCCTGGTGTTCAGGAGTGGCAGCCCTACTCTCACCCCGCCCTCCACCTCCCAGCTCCCCACCCCACCCCACCCTGGTCCTCTTCTATGTCAGCAGGATCCAGGGAAATGATGGGCACTGGAAGCCCCTAGGACAAGGGTCCTGGGGCCCTGACAGCAGAGGTCACAGGGCTGGGCTGCCAGGTGTCACAGACTGGGCTTCTTGCCAGGTGACCTGCACAATGTACCCTGTAATTGGTAGGACCTGGGCGAATTGAGGGCTGGCTGCTAGTCTGGGGTCCCCAGGAGGTGACAAACCCACCCAAGGGAGGGAGGAGGTTCAGAAGCCCGGGCATGGAACAGCGACGCCTGGCAGCTAGCTTTGAGGACTCAGCAGAACCCAGCGAATCCTGCAGTACCGATTACACCCAGCAGGGGCCGCCTGGACGGCTGCTCCAGGCCCAAGGCCACCAGGGTCCCACTGGCAGGTCCTGCCAGTCCAGAACAAATGTTCGTAAGCAGGCACCAGCTTCACCATGCTGACGGCACGGAAAGGGAGGGGAAGGTGCAGTCTTCCTAGTAGGCACTCGGGCGATCTGTCACCTTAAAGCTGCTACCTAGGGTGCACCTGGATGGGGGCGGGGGACATGAGCTAGTAACGCTGAGTACCCACAAGGTGCAGCCTGGCACAAGCCGCAGTGCTTGGGCCAGATCCCGACGGTGAACAAGTTGCTTAACCTCCTTCCTTGTGTCTGCTTCCCCATCTGTGATGTGGGATTTTCAGAACCACTGGAAGCTTTCTGTGGAGTGACCAAGAGGATTCTCAAAGCAGTGGAGGGCTGGAACTAGTGATGTGCCTCACCCATCGCTCACCCCACCCCACAAGAAGCAGATTAGCAAGAGGGGAACTATGCGCTTTCTCACTTAATGTAAGAATTACATGAGTTGGGAGCCTTCAGGAATGAAGTTCAATGTCAGGCATGGTGGTGCATGCCTGGAAGGAATCCCAGCCATCTGGGAGGTGGAGGCAAAAAGATCTCTAGCTGGAGTCTAGGCTGGTAATTTAGTAATGCCTGCCTCGAAATAAAAAATAAAAAGGCCCCAGGCTGGGGATTTAGCTCAGTGGTTCTGCCACCTGCCTCAGAGGCACAAGGTCCTGAGTTCAATCCCTGGTACCAAATAAATAAACAAATAGATAAATAGATAATAAATAAACAAATAAATAAAAGGGCTGGGGATGTAGCTCACTGGTAGTGCATTTGCCTAGCATGTTCAAGCCCAAGTGCTGCCAAGAAAGAGAGAGAGAAGGAAGGAAGGAGAGAGAGAGAGAAAGAAAGAAAGGGAGAGAGAAAGTTTTGACGAAATGAGGCATTTGGATTTCTTTGGTGTACTTGGTGGTACGTGGACAGCTGTGAAGGAGGGGTCTCAGGGATGGGGAGGAGTTGGGCTTAGCAAAGCTCTTCTGGCTCTCCCTTGGATGAGGGGTGTCACCTGCTTTTGAGAAGGGCAAGGGAGGTGAGAGTGGCCTCCCCGCTTCTGCTGTTTCCAAATGCCAAGCCGAGGTGCCCCCCACCCCATACTCCAGATTGAGCCCAGGGTCTTCACACTGAGTTACATCCCAGCCCCTTTTAAATTTTAACTCAGCATCTTGCTAGGACAGTAAATTGCCCAGGCTGGGTTTGAACATGTGATCCCCCTGCCTCAGTCCCCCACAGTACTCGGATTACAGGCATGTGCCACCACGCCCTGCCGAGACCGTATTTTAGGGTGGCATGCCTTGAACCCTGTCAGTCACAGAAATTCAGACTTGTGTGATGGGAACCCACCTCTCTGTCCCCCACGGTGGCCTGCGGGGACTCCAACTCCTCACACTGCCTTCTCTCTTTGAGGTCCTGCAGGTGGGCAGCAGGGTGTCTCATCCTGCCTCCTGGCTCTGGTCAGCCAGGTGGCCCCAACTCGCCTGGTGATTTTCCAGATGGGGTAAAACAAAGCTCGGAGCTGATGACCCAATAAGATCCCACGCACAGCCCTGTCATAGAGGCAGCTTATCGCCAGTCGCCCCGCTCCAGCCCTCTGCAGGGGCTCCCGGCAACCAGGGTGCAGCTGGAGTCTGGAGGGAGGAGCAGGGCCTCCAGCACTACCCAGAGACTGCAGCGGCTGCCAAAGGGCCAGAGGCCCCCCAGGGAGCCACATACCTGGTTCCTCAACCAGGACAGCAGGGCCCCAGACCAGGGGCTGGGCCACTGGAGCCTGCTGTGGATGGTGCAGAGGAGCTGGAAGGGGGCGCCAGAGAGGCATGTCCGTGGTGGCAGAGTGGCACCACCCACCTTCCTTTGGCCAAGAGCAAAGTCATAGCACGTTGGGCAGAAAGGGGACCCAGACCAGCTCATTCTGGCTTCCCATAGGAAATACCAAGGCTCAGGGAGAACAGGGAAACACAGCACAGAATCTGGCTCTCCAGAACCCCCGTCCTCTCCCACCCCCGCCAAGCCCCCTCCCAAGCAGTTCAGCACAGAGCGAGTTCAGAGCCATCCCCAATCATGGCCTTGATCTGGGGCCTTGGCAACAGCTCAGCCTGGAAGGCCAGGGCATTCACAGCCCCCAGACCAATCTGGGGGAAGCTTCCCACCCAAGTGGGCTTGCAGGACCCCCTAGTTAGGAATGACACAGTGTCCCCAGGACCCCAAGCTTTCATTGGTCTGCTTTTAAGAAGACCCCAGGAGATTAGTGTGCTCATTGCCTATGGGAAGCACAGGGTCAGAGCAAGCCTTTTGCCTCCATGAGCCTCAGTTTCCCTAAGGGAAACCCAGGGGCAGAGGTCTGACCTCCTGTGGGGGTTTCCGGTGCTATGGCAGAGCCTAGAAAGTAGAATTCCAGTGCAGCAAGTCTGGGGGACTGGCCACCCCTCTCCCCTTCATCTCCTGAGCCCCTCCTCCCTACTGCAGGCCCAAGGCAGGTGCAACTCCATGGTCTAACCTGCAGCTCACTCAATTCGGTCCATTTCAGCAACACATTGCAATCACCGGGGAATGTTTTGTTTTTTGGTTTTTGTGCGGCACTAGGGATTGAATTTAGGGCCCTTCTGGAGTTATATCTCTAGCAGTTTAAGAAAAAAACATTAAGGGCCAGGGATTTTGCTCAGTGGTTCTGCCGCCTGCCTCACAAGTGCAAGGACCCGAGTTCAATACCCAGTACCCAAAATAAATACATAAAAGAAGCTTTGTTTGTGAAAAAAAAATTTAAAAAAATTTTTTTGAGACAGCAGCTCACTAAGAAGTTGCCCAGGGCTGGGGGATTTAGCTCAGGGTTCTGCCATCTGCCTTGCCAGCACAAGGTCCTGAGTTCCATCTCTGGTACCCCCCCAAAAAAAGAAAAGAAAAGAAATTGCCCAGGCTGGGCTTGAACTTGGAATTGTCCTGCCTCAGCCTCCCAGAGTGCTGGGATTACAGATGTGCACCACCACACCTGGCTAACTGGGGTTGTTTTCTAAAGGTCCAGGCCCCACCCCAAGTCTAGAGAACCAGAGGCTGGGTACAGGTACTTATTAACCTGCCCTGGCCAATTATAAAGCAGGGCCAATCTGCCATGGGTCAGAGATCAGAGACAAGGCTGCTGACACCCTCCCTAGTCATGTGTGTGTCCCGTTTCCTTTTCTCAGGCAGCCAGCTGGGGCAGGTCTGCTTGGAGCCAGGAGAAACCACCAGGAAATTCCCTGTATATTGTAATGTGTGACAGCAGCGTCTAATTAATCATCAACCCTGTGATATGATCTCCACCCATAAAAAAGAGACCCATTGAGGCTTTGGAAACCTGAGCCCTGGCCTCTGTCAGATTGCTCCCTATTGACTGAGGACCTGTGCCTGAGGACCCTGGGATGATGGGTGCCCACCTCTGCTCCGAGGCTGGTAAGGCGACTTCCTGTTTCCTTGGGCCATGCTCTGAGGCCGGGCATGCAGAGGGGAGAGGGCTTGGGGTCCCTGTGCTGTGCTCAGGAGGCACAGGGTGATCAGTATTGACCTTGCTCAGCAAGGGCTTCCCACGCAGCTCAGCCCCTCTGAGGTAGTGAGCTTCTTGTCCCTACAGGGGTCTAGCAGAGATGGGTAACTTAGGTGACAAGAAGACCACCAACCCACTTTGTTCTCAGATCCTGGCAGGCAGGGAGAGAAGCGGCTAGGCTGGGCAGTGGGGCAGAGTTAGGAGGCCTGGTGGAAAGCAAGGGGTCCCAGCTGGGTGAGTTAGACTGCAGGATCTCGGGAAAGTCATTCTGTCTCTCTCCCTCTTCTGCAGCCAGGGGAAGTGTGACCCAAGGTGTTCCTTAGGAGAGGGTACAGATGGGCAGGAGATGGAGACCCATATCTCTGATGCCCAGAGGTTGGGAGCCCCAGCAGGGGCTGCACCCAGGGCCACCATGCAATGGCCGCTGTGTTTGGATTCCAGGTGGGGCAGTGACATGGCCATAAAATGGCACAAGGGTTCAGGAGACAAGGAACTGGGCCTCACTTCTGGCCAGGAGGGCCTCTCGTCCTGTGCAGCCTTCCCAGCTCGGAGCACTTCCTGGGCCACTGTAAAGCATTAGTGGGCACCCAGCACCTGAGAGCCTTGGGGCTGGAGGCAGTGACAAGTCAGGGACAAGGCTGGCTGGGAGGCCCCTGGAGCAGTTAGCCAGTCCTGATCCACTTCAGGCCCACAAGCTTTGGTGCCAAAAAAAAAAAACAAAAAAAACTTTTTTGGAGAAAGGATCTCACTGTATTTCAGGCTGGCCTTGAACTCACTGTGTAGCTCATGCTAGCCTCAAACTCTTAACAATCTCCTGCATCTGGCTCCCAAGTGCTGGGATTATAGGCGTGCACCACCACACTTGGCTTTTGCTGCAAAATTTTGTGAGACTCCACCTGCCCTGGGGTGGAAGACACCCAGAGACAGACTTGTGTCCCCTGCACTTCCTGGAAGTAAGGCTGTGCCCTTATTCTTGTCCAATCGGCCTGCACCGTGCCCCCTTGACAGTGGGGAGCAGAGGAGGCAGCTGGGATACTTGGGGAAGGTTCCCTACAGACAGTTACCCCACTTTGCTGCCTGAAAATGGGGCCCATACTCAGAACAGCCATCTTGCTCAAGCATCTGGCTCCCCTGAATCCCATGTCAAACCAGCCTTCCCAGAGAACCTCATTCATTTGGCCTGGCCCACCTCTGCCACTCCCTGCCCCAGGAGGGGTGTGTCAGCTGGCCAGGTCAAAGATAGGAGGGCTCTCACAGGTGTGTGGGAAGACCAGGCAGAGTAGAGTGGGTACCTACACCCTCCATGGCCCCGTGACCTAGCCCAATGCAAAGCAGAGGAAGGGACCCCTTGGGTGGATGAGTCCTGCAGGCCTCCAATAGCCTGGCAGGGTGAGGGTGGCTCTCAGCTCCATTCAACCTGGGCCTTGTGCGGTAAACAACCAATACTACCATACAGGACAGTGCATATTGAGAGACCAGGCTCCAAGGAGCCCTTCGTTCCCTGCCTGTGGTAACGACTTACAAGGGCCACACTCAGGCAGTTGCTAAGGGGATGCCTCAGGTAAGGCTGCAACCCAAGTGTGCAGCTGGGAGGAGAGGGATCAGTGTGTACCCTGAGCTTCCCTCCTCTAACTGAAGGAGCACGAGAGCACTGCAGTCTGTCCACTTAGGTTTGCTTCTCTTGTCATCCCAGGACCACCTCCTGCTGAGGGACACAGGCACCCTCCCTGGGAAGCTCCCTCCTCCCTGGGCCAGTCGTCCCTGGATGCCCTCCAGGAAGCAGATGGGCAGTGACTGTGCCTCCCCCTGCAGCTCTGCCCAGCACGGGTCCCACCCCTGCCAGCCTGGCCTGGCTGCCCAGGAAACAGGGAGGGGCCGGAGCAGTAGGCCCGGAAGGACGCATGTCTGCTGGTCACCAAGGACCACAGGGCAAGCGGGACACACTCCAGGTCCCTGACTCCAGAGGGTCAGTTCCGATTCCCACAGGGGCCCTCAGGGTGGCACCAGGTTGGGGGCATTGTTTCAGGGATCTCCCCTTGATGAGGGCAGCAGCGAGGAACAGGGCTCTGGCATACCCGAGGGACAGGACGGGTGACACGGGGAAGGGCTCTGCGAGGGCCAGTGCAGAGGTCCCTGCACCTGCCACTCGGGCCTTGTAAGCTCATTTCCAGTAGCTTACCTGTGGCTGGTGGGGTCAGGGATGCATCCCCCGTGCCTGATCCGATGCAGCTCCTCCAGACCTCAGGACTGAGTGAGGGGACGGATGCCCAGCAGGCACTTCCCTTCATGCTGCTAAGCAGATGCCTACGGGAAGTCTCTCTGGACCTTGGCTGGACTCTGCTCTGGCTCCCAGCGCACTGATCTCAGACCTTTCTCCAGCCCCAGCCCTGCACCACTGTGGGGAGCTGCTGAGACCCTTTCTGCTCCAGGACCAGGAGTGCTCCCTGGGGAAGGGGGCGGGCTTCACAGGCGCCGCAGACTCCCCAAGGGAAATGAGGCCAGAGAGGCAGGGGAACAGGGCCACCTCAGCCAGCTTCTAGGCCAGGCCGGGCGAGAACAGTAAGCATCGAAGATGCCCGGATGCAGCGCACCTTTCTGTCACAGCCAGTAATTTCCACCCTAGGCCTGGGTTTAAGACAGGGCCTCAACGCGCAGGCACTGCTGTCCCTTGGTTTAAGGCCCGGGGGTCACGGTGAGAGTCAGACCCAGGACAGGTGAAGCGGGCTCCCCACCCGCTCCACACACATCTCTGGGGGATCCTGGGGCAGGGGGAGGTGGCCCGGTGGATCGGGTCCCCAGGGGTCAGGATGGCCCGCGGCGCCAGGGCCAGGCTGTGCGAGGTTTCCCTAAGGAGACCAAGTCCGGACCGACCCAGGCTCACGTGCCCCTCGTCCCCACCCTGTCCCGCAGATGCGCAGGCGCCGG